CAACTTGTTTCTATTTAACTATTATTCTATTAAATCAGTTTTAAAATGAGTTCCCTCCTTCCACCATCTTTAACTTTCTGCTCCCTGACAGGATGTCTTGCTCACTGGTATCACGACACTTACTGTCTTCTCTTCTAAAACATGCATTTAAGCTGAATTCTTCAAGTTTTCATATCAGACTTTTCTTCATCATTCAAAATATTTTCCAATTTCCACTGTAGCCTTTATTTTCAATCCAAGGGTTAGAAGTATACAATATCCACACACATTTTAAGCTGTCTGGCTATCTTGTTAAACTCCTGGTTTCAGTGTACTATGGCCAGAAAACATACCTGGATAGCTTCAATCCTCTGAAACTGTTCCAATTCACTTTATGGCCAGTATCATCTATTTTTACCAGGTTTCTAGAATATTTTTGAAGTGACTATATCTTCATCATGATACATTCATTTTTCTCTGCTTCATGTTTTAAATCCATTGTTAGCGGTATGCACAATAGCTGGTTAGTTGATTTAAAAAAGATCCATTTTGCATTTAGTTTAATACAACTATGTAGTTACTGACATTTTGGTTTAAATCATCCATTGCCTGCCTAATTTTCCTTGCATTCTTTTGACTGTATTATTTATTTAGCAAATAGAAATATACAGAACAGTCTGATACGCTCACTTCTCACTCAAATGCTCCTTGTAGCCATGAGCCAGGGGTAGATGCCAGGAGCCAGGAATTCAATCGAGGTCTCTCACGTAGGTGGCAGGGGTTCAGCTACTTGGGCATCACTGCTGCCGTCTCCCAGGGTCCACATTAGCAGGAAGACAGAGTCAGAAAGAGCCGGGTATCAAACCTAGGCCTTTGATAAGGACACAGACACTAACTGTTGTGCCAACACTGCTGTGGCTGGACTCCTACCTGCACAGCAACCGTGAGGAGCCTGTGGGATACCGACCACATGCACGTGAGATACGTGAAGTGCTTCTGAGATACGCGTCTGCGTGCGGTGCTGGAGATATTTGCTATCTGTCTACGATGTACTTATGAGACACCTGTAACATATTTTTGAGGTGCATGGTATCTGATGTCAGATATTTGATGAGGTATTTACAAGTATTTATGCTTATGAGGTATTTGATATTAGTATTTATGAGATATTTATGAGATTCAAGATATTTGATATTTCTATTTATGAAGTATTATAACATTTGAAATATCTGATATTTGAGGTATTTATGATTTTAATATTTGAGCTATTTAAGGTATTTGAGATTTGATGTATTTGATGTTTATATTTATGAGGTATTTGAGATACTTATGACAGAGTTATAGGGAACATGAGGTATTTGATAGTTATGAGGTGAGATATTTGATATTTGAGGTATTTGGTGTTTGTATTTCTAAGATACTTGATATTCACGAGATATTTACACAAACATTTCCTCCCATGACCCTTTGCCTTTTCTATTCCCTTGACACCTGTGCATAAGCAGAAGTTGTGAAGTCAGATCAAGTCCCATTTACCAACTTTTCTTTTATGTTGTTCTTTATATCTAAGCAAGTGCTATTTAGCTCAAGGTCACAAAAATATTTTTTGTTGTGTGAAAACTTCACAGTTTGCATTGCTGTCTGGCTCTGCAATCGGGCTGACCCTGACAGACACCAGGAGGCAGAGACCGAGGCTGGAGTCTTCCCGCTCCCAGTGCTTCCCCTCCCCTGCTCAGGAGCCCCCCCTCACTGAAACGCCGTGGCTCCTCAGAGGGAAAACCGGTCCTGGGCTGCTTTGTCCTGTCGTGACGTCAGGCGGCATGACATCACCTGCATTCACCTGTCTCAAGTTCTGCACGAGACTTTAACGTCTAGCTCACTGGGAACCCTGCAGTCTTCCATCTGCTGAGCAAAGCGAGCCGAGCTCTTTAAGGTCTGTTTAAACATCCTATCACCTGGAACCCCCGGGCCCGTTTCTACCGTCCGGTGTTCCTGCTGGCTCTTTTCATGTAATCCTATCTTCTCACATTTCTGCTTATTTCTGGTACTGTGGTGGACACTGCATTAGAAAAACCTGTTTGTAGAAATAAGATTTTTCCAAATAGTATTTCAATTTCCTCTGGCAGCAATCGCTGAGCCTCAGCCATGCAGAATTCAGAGGTTGTTACTTTCTAGGCTCAGATGGCCTGGGTGACAGCAGCTCCGGTGAGGACTTCCGCCTGTCCCTGTACCTGGACGCCGCCTTCAGTTCCGTTCCTGTCTCCACGCCGAGAAAAGGCTGTCAACTGGCAAGCACCTTAGGGAAAAGCAGGCCCGGCTGCTGCGCTCACCTCTTTGGGTCTCTGCTTCCCAAGTCTTCACTACCTTGTGAGCCCTTTGATCCTTCAAGCAGATTTCAAAAAAAAAAAAAAAAAAAAAAAAAAAAATGTTCGCAGTGTTCCAGCTATCCCTGGTCCAGTGTTCCAGCTATCCCTGTGGTCCAGTGTTCTAGCTATCCCTGGTCCAGTGTTCCAGCTATCCCTGGTCCAGTGTTCTAGCTATCCCTGGTCCAGTGTTCCAGCTATCCCTGGTCCTGTGTTCTAGATATTCCTGGTCCAGTGTTCCAGCTATCCCTGTGGTCCAAGTCATGTGAATCTCTCAGTACACCACTGCTACACACCACACTCAGAAATTTCATCTGGTTTATTTAAGAATTCTCAAGTCCCCAACGAAGTGAGGTAGCACTGTTAAAAGGAGTTTTTCTGGCCGGCACCATGGCTCACTAGGCTAATCCTCTGCCTGCGGCGCCGGCACACCGAGTTCTAGTCCCAGTCAGGGCACCGGATTCTGTCCCGGTTGCCCCTCTTCCAGGCCAGCTCTCTGCTGTGGCCCGGGAGGGCAGTGGACGATGGCCCAAGTGCTTGGGCCTGCACCCCATGGGAGACCAGGATAAGTACCTGGCTCCTGATCAGTGCAGCGCACTGGCCGCAGCGCGCCAGCCACAGCAGCCATTGGGGGGTGAACCAAGGGAAAAGGAAGACCTTTCTCTCTGTCTCTCTCTCTCTCGCACTGTCCACTCTGCCTGTCATTAAAAAAAAAAAAAAAAAGGGAGGTTTTCTAACTTCAGTCAGGAGAGTTGATAGGAAAAAGTATGAAAAAATAAAAATAGTGTAAACAAAAGAGCTAAAATGCTTTTAAAACTCAGTGCTACTTAGATTAAAGCAAGCAGTTCTAGAAGCACGGGACATTAATAATCCAGAGATTTTTAATATTTACGAGGCTTACAGTGTCAGATATGGAGAGTGGTGTTATTACCCATCATAAACCTTATAACCTTAGATCATTTACCTGGGACAAGAAGGCAAGAAACTGTCCTATTTGGGAAGATTCATGCCAAAAATCTCTAAAATTGGTTATGCCGTGTACTAGGCTAACAGGAACTTTGGAAACTTTCCTTTACTACGTGTTTGTGGCCCACAACCAGGACACACCGCTAAGTGCTTCTGCAGGAAGCACCTACGCCCGGGACCGCCCCTCCTGTGGAGGTTTTAGCTGGGGACATGGCACAGCCTACCCTGATGGGACGCCACTTCCAGCAGTGTTTTCCACTCCAAAAACAAGCAGCCATCCACCCAGGCCGTCAGACTTGCAAAGCCTCAGCTGTCACAGCACTGCAGGCTCGGGCTTCTGTTGGTCCTCGACAACCAGCAGGAGCGTGGGACACTCACCAGAAGTCTCACAGACTGCACGCCTACACAGGGCACTCACTAGGTCTGCAGAAAACAAGCACTGCTGGCTTTCCCCCTTCCTTGCTGTGAGAACATCTGATCACCTGAAGGCACGGGGTGGGGAGACTTTTCTCTGCCAGGGGCTAGCTGGATATTTATAACATCATTCTCAGGCCACACGAATTTATCAGCTGAAATATTAGCCTGCAGGAGCCGGTACGGTGGCACAGACGGCTAAGCTGAGGCCTGCAGTGTTAGCATCCCACATGGGCACCAGTGCAAGTGCTGGCTGCTCCACTTCCAATCCAGCTCTGTGTTAATGAGCCTGGGAAGCAGCGGAAGGTGGCCCGAGTCCTCGGGCCTCTGCACCCGTGCGGGAGACCCGGAAGAAGCTCCTGGCTTTGTTCCTGGCACAGCCCTAGCCATTGTGGCCACTTGGGGAGTGAACCAGCGTATGGGAGACCTCTCTCTCTGTCTTCTTCTCGCTGTGTAACTCTACCGTTCAAATAAACAAGTAAATCTTGAAAACACACCAGCCTGCCACAACCTTATTGGATCTCGAGTCCTGCCTGTGGCTGCCCTGGCAGGCTGGAGACCAGACGACCCCGCGGGCTCCCACAGACCGCGGCTGACGTCGCCACCCGGCTTTCAAGCTTGCAGTTCTTCTGGGCAGCTGGAGACGAGCTCTTCCCCGGCGTGGCGCGGAGCCCCCTGACGTGTCAGCAAGCGGCTGGACGCACACCACCCCACGGAACAGTTCCCTCAGCTTCCCACCGGGGCTCTCGCGGCTTCCATGACTTACCCGACAGGCGAGAAACATGCTACATACAAATTTACTTAATAAATTAGGCTTTCACCCCAACCCTGACCATAGATAGACAAACGTTACAAGCAAAAACCAAAATATTTTATTAATGTTTAATATAGCAATGTAATGAATTACACATTGGGTACGTAACATTATAAAATAACTGAATGGCTGAAAATAATCCTGTTTTTACTGTTAATTCAAATTGGAAGGGAAAAAATTTTTTTTTCTTTTTTTTTTTGACAGGCAGAGTGGACAGAGAGGGAAAATTTTTTTTAAAAAATTAGTTACAAAAGTGATTAAAGGAAATAAAAATAGTAAATAAAACTTTACACTGGAACCTAAAGGTAAGCCAAAGGCTTAGTAGTGCAAACATACTAAGAAATTCCAAGATACACAAAGGAAAAAGACAGACATGAAACTGGTATTCACGGGACGGTGAAACAGAATTAATGCTGAAAGTATCTTCCTTTCTGAAAAAATTTAACTGAAACCAATTTACTTACCCAAGCTCCGTCATTCCCTCTATAAATTCCTTTTTGCTAAATTCACACTGAGTTGCTGCCCTGAATTTCCATGCTATGACCAAAACGCTGATACTGGCAGGATCCAAGCTTAAATCATCACAGAACTGTTGAATTCCATCAATTCCGATTTTGTTTTCATCTTGTGGGTCTGCAGTCAACATGAAGAGAGAAAGAAGTTACACTATTTTTCAAGGTAACCCTAGGGGCTGGCTGCAGTGCTGGTATCTCATACGGATGCCGGTTCTATTCCCGGCTGCTCTACTTCCGATCCAGCTCTCTGCTGTGGCCTGGGAAAGCAGTGGAAAACGGCTCAAGGGCTTGGGCCCCTGCAGCCACATGGGAGACCCAGAAGAGGCTCCTGGCTTCAGATCGGCCCAGCTTTGGCGGTTGTAGCCAATTGGGGAGTGAACCATCGGATGGAAGACCTCTCTCTCTCTCTCTCTCTTCCTCTTTTCTCTCTGTGTAACTCTGACTTTCAAATAAATAAATAAATATTAAAAAAAAAAAGAAAGAAAGAAAACATTGTATTTACAGGCATACCCATTGCCAGGGCACTCGGTGATTTTATTAGCCTGAGACTGGCTGCCATGACGCCACTCTCACTGCATAGAAGTTGGGCGAGGGCTTGCTTAACCTTGGCATCCCCCTCCTCCCTGCCTCCCCAGTCTATCCTGAGTCACGGTCCAGTCTCACTCAGACTGAGGGAAGTGGGTCCTGCTGCTGAGAACCAGGGAGACGAGGAAGGGAACCTGGACCAGACATTTGAGACACATACCATGCACCCTGCATGCCAGACACGCATTCGGTCCAGCTCTGCTGCCATGACACCCCTTACCTTTGTACCTGCCGTATAGCTGTTCTAGCTTCTTCTGGTCCACACTGCTCCGCAGGGACTCTCTGTGAAACGAGCCTGGGTTCTGGAAGAAGCTGTCCGTGGCCTCATCCAGTTTCCACTCATTTTGCGTCAAGCAGTAGATGGCGGTTGTTTCGCTAGCCTGAGTACACGCCATAAACTGGCGGACTCTGTCCTTCTGAGATGACTTCAGCTTATGCTGTGGGACATGGGGGACACCGGAAAGCCAGTGAGACACTGCAGGGCTGCTCTGTCTCTACTCCTAAGGCCTATATATATAATTTTTAGAGATTTATTTATTTGAGTGACCAGTGCTGTAGATGTAGCAGGTAACATGCAGTGCTGACATCCCATATGGGCGCCAGTTCGGGTCCTGGCTGCTCCACTTCCGATCCAGCTCTCTGCTATGGTCTGGGAAAGCAGTGGAAGATGGCCCAGGCCCTAGGGCCCCTGCACCCAGGAGGGAGACCTGGAAGAAGCTCCTGGCTTTTGATTGGCCCAGCTCTGGCCATTGCGGCCATTGGGGAGTGGAGCAGCAAATGGAAGGCCTTTTTCTCTATTTCTCCCTCTCTGTAACTCCGCCTTTCAAATAAATAAATCTTTAAAAAATTTTATTTGAAAGGCACAGTTACAGAGCAAGAGGGAGAGAGACCTGCTGTTGGTTCACTCCCCAACAGCTACAGCAGAGCTGGGCCAGGTGGAAGCCATGGCCTGGAACTCCATCTGGGTCTCCTGGGATGCCAGTACTGCAGGTGGCCGCTTAAGCCCCTGAGCCACGACGATGGCCCCAAGGCCTGTGTTTTAACTGGACTTTGTTTTTTTTTTTTTTTTTTTTTTTTTATTTTTGACAGGCAGAGTGGACAGTGAGAGAGAGAGACAGAGAGAAAGGTCTTCCTTTGCCATTGGTTCACCCTCCAATGGCCGCCGCGGCCGGCGCGCTGCGGCCGGCGCACCGCGCTGATCCGATGGCAGGAGCCAGGAGCCAGGTGCTTTTCCTGGTCTCCCATGGGGTGCAGGGCCCAAGCACCTGGGCCATCCTCCACTGCACTCCCTGGCCACAGCAGAGGGCTGGCCTGGAAGAGGGGCAACCGGGACAGAATCCGGCGCCCCGACCGGGACTAGAACCCGGTGTGCCGGCGCCGCTAGGCGGAGGATTAGCCTAGTGAGCCGCGGCGCCGGCCTGGACTTTGTTTTGTTGGGTGACTCCACTTCGGAACTGCAGGGAGAGAAAAGCCTTGTTCTTCAGTTAAGACTGCACAGTCTTAGGAAAATGGAATTTGTACAACACACACTCTGATCCTCCCCGGCTGACTCTGCACAGGCAGATCAGCATTTTTCCAAGTCTCGGCACAACGTTTTCCAAGTCTCGGCACAACGTCTGCAGCGTCCACTCAGCCCCCTGATGCGAGGCACCTGCTGTCACCCTGGGACACATCTGCGCGCTCTCGGTCTTCAAATTCAGGCTGCGAGCCGTGGGAGGAAGCTTCACAGCTTAGGAACGTTTTAAGAGTTTCCTCACTTTACATTCAACTGGACCACATTGATGAAAACATACATGCACCCCTAACAAAAATGTTCTAACTACTGAAGTGCCACAAGGAGGCACAAGGAGCCAATTACAGTTAAATGAAAATGGTAATACTAAGGACGTCTGTGTATGCGAGACAGAAATAAAATGAAACATAGGGCAGAGGCTGTGGTAGGTGATAAATCACTGTCAAGTACCTGTACTATATATAGTAACTCCTGAAACAAAGTAACACCGTACTGCTTCCAGAGACAGGATGGGAAACCCATGACAGAAACACCAAACAGCTCTATGGCCACAAATGTTCTCTAGAGTAAGGGAGCAACGTCATTTAAAGGACCGCACTCCAGCTTGTTCGAATACAGATGAGGCGATTTACAGAAACACAGAATAATTACAACTGACGGAAACGTACGAATGGAGAACCAGATGGAGACACTGAGAGGGAGACACGAAAGGGAAAGAGGCCCACCACGCCAGAGGGGCAGTGGGCTGGAGGCAGGCTCCCAGCTTCCCCGCTGACCACAGTTCCAGTCAGACTTGAACACCTCCGGTGCTTCACCTGTGGCTCTACTCCTGTCCTGAGAGCCGAGGGACCGGCTCTGTGGCCTCCCTCCAAAGGTGCACACGCACCGTGGCCTCGCCACCGAGTCCTCGCCAGGATGCCAACAGCAAACAGCGGGGCAAGCGGTCACGTTTTCCCTCCCTAGGGCTCGCTGCCACCCAACGCCAGACACCGTCGGCAGGTGGCACGGGGAGCCTCGGCCATGGCTCCCCCAGCAGGCTCTGCAGCTGGCCTCCCCAAAGCCGTCTTCCCAAGAATTCTCAGTGTCTCACAAGCCACAGGAGAGGCCTCGGGGGCTGCGAGACGCGTGGTCTGCCGACAGACTGAATGCACGAGATCTGAGAAATGAACTCTGATAAGGCTGTGAAATGGATTTATCACTGCTAACTTAGAAAATGTATGTAATGTCCAACATGGCCAAACACTGATGACTGTTTCCAACGTAAGCAGAAGCTCTGTGAGAAACAGCCTGTGAGCAGCTGGCAGAGGCGGGCTCTGGGAGCTAACACGCCCTCCATCGGGACCATGACTCCATGTTCAGGGAGTCTGGGGTCCCATTCAGAATAGTGTACATCAGGAGTCCTCCCGGGGGGACACATACATGGTACTGTCCTGTGCATGTGGTCTTGCAGGAACTCTGGGGGTCCCATAGCCATTTTGAGCCCACCTGTGGTCTCTGGGGCGGGGAGGGTGGCAGAGGCAAACACTCTCTTCAAGACCCAGGTGGGAAAGGCGCTGGGCCACAGACGTCTGGGGACCCATTTCCTGCAAGGACACCTGGACATTCATCACACCACTCACAGCAACGTAAGACCATCCGTTTAGAGCCCGCTGCTACAGACCTGACTTTCCAGTCTGCCCGTGGCCGCCTCGGCAGGCCCAGACAGCACGGAAGGTGGTGTGTGAAGCCGCAGCTCGCCCGTGACCATGGCTGCCGATTGACCCTAGGCTGGAGGCACACGGGAACAGACGCTCTACACACCTTCCTGACGGTGAGTTCTGAGAACACCAGCAAGAACTCAAGGCCGCCCTCTGGTGAGATCACACGAGCGACGTGAGGGCAGAGCTGTGCCCGGGCAGGGAGCCAGCACCCGCTGAGGAGGCGGGCAGCCCGCCCATGCTGACAGCCACCTCCGACCTTAGGACAAAGAGAGTCACACGGTCCCAAGAGGAACAGCCGCAATGTCGTGATCACGGGACAGTCGTCAGTCCTGCCACGGCGATGGGACAAGGTCTGCTATGTCCATAAAATGAAGTTCCACGAAGCCACAAAGAAGAATGAACCACGGACACCGTGACAACACGATGCTGGCACGGCCGTTTGGTGCAGCAGCTGGGACACCAGTGGGGCCGCATCCTCTACCGGCGTGCCTGGGCTCAAGGCCTGGCTCTGCTGCTAATCCAGCCTCTGCCGATGCCCAACTTGAGACCGCGGAACGCTCCAGCACCTGGGTGCCTGCCACACACACGGGACACCCGAGTTCCCGGATCCTGGCTTAGCCTCGGCTGCTGTGCACATTTGGGGAGCGAACCACTGAGTGGAGGTCTGTCTCTGACCATGTCTCCTTGTTTTCCAAATAAAAAAATTTAAAAATCATGCTTTTAAAGAAAAAACAAAACATTATGCTGAGTGGATGATGCCAGACACATAAGGCCACATGTTGCGGCCGGCGCTGTGGCACAGTGGGTTAATCCTCCGCCTGTGGCATCCCGTATGGGCACGGGTTCTATTCCCGACTGCTCCTCTTCCGATCCAGCTCTCTGCTATCTCCTGGGAAAGCAGTAAAGGATGGCTCAAGTGCTTGGGCCCCTGCACCCACGTGGGAGATCAGGGGGAGGTTCCTGGCTCCTGGCTTCGGACTGGTCTAGCTGCAGCCATCGTGGCCATCTGGGAAGTGGACTGGCAGATGGAAGACCTTTCTCCCTGTCTGTTCCTCTCACTGTAACTCTGTCACTCAAATAAATAAATAAAAACCTTTAGAAAAAAAAAGGCCAAATGTGATTGGACCTCAAAAGCTTTACCAAACAATGGAATTACAAGGCGATTTGAGCTGTGGGCGTAGGGCTGAAATGCCTGCATCTCCCTTCAGAGGCTGAGCCTGGTTTCCCACTGGGGCCCTCGCCTGCCTCCAGCTGCCTGCCAACATGCGAGGCAGCAGTGACGGCTCAAGTAGCCACCACCCGCTTGGGAGGCCGGGGTTGAGTTCCTGGCTCCTGGCTCTGCCCCTGTCCACTGCAGGAAACCAGAGCCTGGGAGCTGTCTCTCAAAATAAACAAATACATTAATTAATTAAAAAATGCTTGAAATCTGTGCATAGTTGTTTTCATGATATTCACGCCCATGAACTTTCTGAAGACCCACTTCTCTCTCTTTTTTTTTTTTTTGACAGGCACAGTGGACAGTGAGAGAGAGACAGGGAGAAAGGTCTTCCTTTACCGTTGGTTCACCCTCCAATGGCCGCTGCGGCCGGTGCGCTGCGCTGATCTGAAGCCAGGAGCCAGGTGTTTCCTCCTGGTCCCCCATGGGTGCAGGGCCCAAGCACTTGGGCCATCCTCCACTGCCCTCCAGGGCCACAGCAGAGAGCTGGCCTGGAAGAGGGGCAACCGGGACAGAATCCGGCGCCCTGACTGGGACTAGAACCCGGTGTGCCGGCGCCGCATGCGGAGAATTAGCCTAGTGAGCCGCGGCGCCGGCCCGGAAGGGCCCACTTCTATGCAACACTTAGAACCGGCAACTCCGGAGAGCGGGAGCAGAGGAGCGGCTTTTGGTAGGCACCGGCGTTCTCCGGGAGATTTAGACGTTCCCGAGCTAACACAGCTCCGTGAGTGCACGGACCGCCGCGGAGTTCACTTCAAAATTGACTGAGAGCTTTAGCCAGGGCCCAGAGGAAGGCGCCAGGCCAGCCATGAAGACACGGGCAGGAAGTGGGGCCAGCCGGCCGGCGTAATGACAGCCAGCGCTCTGCAGCCAGGCCTCCGGACCAGCCCTGCCCCAGGCTGTCCACACCGCCCGACCCCGTCCCCCACCCCAGGCTGTCCACACCGCCCGACCCCGACCCCGTCCCCCGCCCCAGGTTGTCCACACTACCCGACCCCGTCCCCCACCCCAGACTGTCCACACCGCCCGACCCCGTCCCCGCCCCAGGCTGTCCACACCGCCCGACCCCGACCCCGTCCCCCGCCCCAGGCTGTCCACACCGCCCGACCCCGACCCCGTCCCCCGCCCCAGGTTGTCCACACTACCCGACCCCGTCCCCCACCCCAGACTGTCCACACCGCCCGACCCCGTCCCCGCCCCAGGCTGTCCACACCGCCCGACCCAGGCCAGCAGAGGTCCCGCGCAGGTTTCCTCGGAAACAACAGTGACCGCCGGCCGCCCGTGCACCTGCCCAGGGGAACTCGCGGCCTCTTTGGAAAAGGCGGCTCCTCCGCTGACAGTCGCACGGGCCGGGGGCGCGTGCCCACCCAGGCGGGACTGAAGGCGACAGAAGCCGAAAACCAACCCCCGCGGAGGTAGCAGGTGCAGAAAGTAAGGCCAGCGAGTAGAGGGGAAGGGCCTTCGCTTCTTCGCCGTATTCTGCTAAAATGCACTAAACTGCAGGACGTTCACGGCGCAGGAGACGGCCACGGACACCCACGCGCGCGCCAGAGCCCCGACAACCCTCTCAGCGCCCCGCCAGGGAGTTTCTCGGGCTGCCCTCGCCAGGCGGACGGCGGGGCGGCCTCCCCAGCCTGGCCCGCAGCGTCCGTGCCGCCTCCCCGCCTCGGAGGGGACGCCGCGGCCGCCACAGGCGCGGGGCCCTCGCCGCCGTCCCGCGCCCCCGCCCCGCGCTCCCGCCGAACGCCGACCCTGACCCCGACCCGCAAGGGCGACGCCGGCACCTACCATCCTCGGCAGCAGCACCGCGTCTGTGGGCCCGCGCTCTGCGCAGGCGCAGCCGGCAGCCGGCCGCCGGTCCGGGCGAAAGCTGTGTCCGAGAGCCCCGACTCCCGGCGTGCACGGCGCCACGCAGGGGCCGACGGGACGTCCATCTCGCTCCGCCCCTCCTCCGCTTCCGGGCGTGCACGGCGTCCCGCGTCCTCGGGGCCTACGCGCCGCGCGCTCCGACAGGGGCGAAGTCCGACCCGCCTGCCTCTCCGAAGCCCCTCTCCCGCCCGAGGTGCTCCGGGAACGAGGAGCAGGTCGGTCCCGGGAACTGCAACTCCCGGTACTCACAGCGCCGCCCGAGGGCCGACGGGAACGCGCCGACTCGACTTCTTAAAGGGGCCGCACACCCCTCCGCAGTTGACGCGCGTCCGCGGAGCCGGCGCGGGGCTGAGGCGGCCCCGGTCCTCCCCGCGGGTCACGCCCTGGGCGCCCGGGAAGGGATGCGGGACGGCCCGCGCGCACTGCGCTCCGGCTCGGGGGCTGGACGAGCAGGGCGCGACCTCCTCCGCCCGGGTGAGCGCTGCGGGGCGCACGGCGGCGCGGTCCTCCCCCGGCTCTCCGGCGGCCTGCGGCCCCGGCTGCTGTCACAGACGGACGCCCCTGGCCGCGGCCGCGAGCGTCCCGCGGAGGGCGGTCCTGTCCCTGCTGTCCGCACGCCCGTCGCCGCGGGCCTTGCGCGGGCTCTGCGGGTCTTCAGCCTCCCGGCGCGGGTGGCCTGGTGGCGTCTCGGGCGTCCGCCGCGTTGCGCTGACGCCCGGCGCTTGTCCCCGTCCCTGCCCCGCCCTCCGCCTACACCGCCTGCGTGTCGGGTCACAAACCCGAGCTTCAGGACCGTGCCCCGCGGGTGCGTGCGGCTGGATGCGCGCGTGGGGGCGCTCGGCGCTCGTTCCCGCACTTGCCTGCGCGAGCCCCCCCGGGGCCCTGGGCGCGGTGGACGCGGGGCGCGGCCGCAGCCTTCGTCTCCCGCCGGCCGAGGCGCTGGACCCGACCGCGTCCTCCCTGCGGGAGCGGGCGCGCCTCGGTGGACAGCGGCCGGCGCGCGGGCGAGGAGTCGGGGCGTGCCGGGTGCGTTTCTGGCGCAGGCGTCGTCCTGGGCGTCCAGACGTCCCCCGCGGTCGGGTCCTCGTCCGCCTTGGAGCACGTTTCGGGGTTCCTCTCCTGGGGGCGCGGCGCGGGGCTGGTTTTCCCGGGCTCAGGGGCGGGGGCCCTCTCTGCCCGGGCCGTCTGGGCGTCTGGAGGTTCGGGGGCACGCACAGCACCCAGGGAATTCGCCGGACGCCCCCACCCCTGCGTGCGTGGTTGTCCCGCTCGCTCGGCTCCCCTGCGTGATGGGGCTGCCTGTCTGGTTGCGGACTCACTGTGGGAACCGATTCAGAGCCCAGAGCCCACCCTCGGCGCAGGCCCCGCCCCTTCCCCAGAGCGCCGGCAGCTGTGCATCACGCGGGCGGGCGAGTGTGAGCGTGAGAAACAGTGAGTGCGTGAGCGAGTGTGATGAGGGTGAGAGAGCCGGTGAGTGCGTGAGCGAGTGTGATGAGGGTGAGAGCCAGTGAGTGCGTGAGCGAGTGTGATGAGGGTGAGAGAGCCGGTGAGTGCGTGAGCGAGTGTGATGAGGGTGAGAGAGCCGGTGAGTGCGTGAGCGAGTGTGATGAGGGTGAGAGAGCCGGTGAGTGCGTGAGCGAGTGTGATGAGGGTGAGAGAGCCGGTGAGTGCGTGAGCGAGTGTGATGAGGGTGAGAGAGCCGGTGAGTGCGTGAGCGAGTGTGATGAGGGTGTGAGAGCCGGTGAGTGCGTGAGCGAGTGTGATGAGGGTGAGAGCCAGTGAGTGCGTGAGCGAGTGTGATGAGGGTGAGAGCCAGTGAGTGCGTGAGCGAGTGTGATGAGGGTGAGAGAGCCGGTGAGTGCGTGAGCGAGTGTGATGAGGGTGAGAGAGCCGGTGAGTGCGTGAGCGAGTGTGATGAGGGTGAGAGAGCCGGTGAGTGCGTGAGCGAGTGTGATGAGGGTGTGAGAGCTGGTGAGTGCGTGAGCGAGTGTGATGAGGGTGTGAGAGCTGGTGAGTGCGTGAGCGAGTGTGATGAGGGTGAGAGCCGGTGAGTGCGTGAGCGAGTGTGATGAGGGTGAGTGTGAGAGCCAGTGTGTGAGCGAGTGTGTGAGCGAGTGTGTAGAGTGAGAGCCAGTGAGTGTGATGAGAGTGAATGCAGGCGAGTCAGCAAGCGTGATGAGTATGAGGGTGAGTGAGTGTGAGAGCCAGTGTGTGTGATATGAGGGTGAGTGAGTGTGAGAGCCAGTGTGTGTGATACGAGGGTGAGTGACCAGTGTGAATGTGCCTGAGAGCGAGTGGGCGGGAGCGAGCGTGGGGCCCTGGTGCGAGGGCGTGGAAAGATGCGGAGCCCTGCTGCTTCCTCCGCCCCGCAGCCCGTCGTGTCTGCAGCGTGTCCTTGCGTGAGACCTGTGGCTGGGAGCTAGGCCTCGGTCCGCCTGCAGCGCTGGCCCCCACGGCAGTGCCCCACTCGCGTGCAGCTCCCTGTGCGGCGGAGGCACCTGTCCCTGGGCCTGGGCTGTCCTCTGCTGCCTTCCCAGGCCGTCCTCTGCTGCCTTCCCAGGCCGTTAGCAGGGCGCTGGGTTGGACGTGGAGCGGCCGGGACTCCCAGGCGCCCACGTGGGATGCCGGTGCCACAGGCTTTGGCTCACTCTCTGCACCACAGTGCTGGCCCCGAGAAGTCTTTAATAACTGAAAGTAACTGACAAAATGACCCTGAAGCTGAGTGTTTACCGGTGTGCTAACGCTGCTGGTTTCATTTGTCCTGGAACCGCCGACACGAGACGTGTTTGAGGTGACACGAGACGTGTTTGAGGTGAAAGGAGGAGTTACGAAAGGGTGACTCACTTGCAGGGTGGCGGATCTCATGTTCTTGTCAGACGCGTGTTTCAGGGGAAGATGATGTGGATTCAGAAAAATGGACGCTGCCTTAGCTGTGGCCAGGGGGTGGCTGATGTGGGGTCCCTGGGCGGGGTTGGGGGCATGGAGCCTGAGACAGGGTCAGTGTGTGAGGGCTGGATGTGGGTGTCCGTGGAGCCCGTGATGGGGTCAGTGTGTGAGGGCCAGGCATGGACGTCCTTGGAGCCCGTGACGGGGTCAGTGTGTGAGGGCCGGGCATGGACGTCCTTGGAGCCCGTGACGGGGTCAGTGTGTGAGGGCTGCACGTGGGCATCCATGGAGCCCCTCACGGGTTCGCTGTGTGAGGGCTGCACGTGGACACGCCATGGAGCCCGTACAGGGTCTCCGTGTGAGGGCCGCACGTGGGCACGCCATGGAGCCGTACAGGGTCTCCGTGTGAGGGCCGCACGAGGACACGCCATGGAGCCCGTACAGCGTCTCCGTGTGAGGGCCGCACGAGGACACGCCATGGAGCCCGTACAGCGTCTCCGTGTGAGGGCCGCACGTGGGCACGCCATGGAGCCCGTACAGGGTCTCCGTGTGAGGGCCGCACGTGGACACCCCATGGAGCCCGTACAGGGTCTCCGTGTGAGGGCTGCACGTGGGCACGCCATGGAGCCGTACAGGGTCTCCGTGTGAGGGCTGCACGTGGGCATCCATGGAGCCCGTACAGGGTCTCCGTGTGAGGGCCGCACGAGGACACGCCATGGAGCCCGTACAGGGTCTCCGTGTGAGGGCTGCACGTGGACACGCCATGGAGCCCGTACAGGGTCTCCGTGTGAGGGCTGCATGTGGACACGCCATGGAGCCCGTACAGGGTCTCCGTGTGAGGGCTGCACGTGGACACGCCATGGAGCCGTACAGGGTCTCCGTGTGAGGGCTGCACGTGGGCATCCATGGAGCCCATACAGGGTCTCCGTGTGAGGGCTGCACGTGGGCACCCCATGGAGCTGTACAGGGTCTCCGTGTGAGGGCTGCACGTGGACACGCCATGGAGCCGTACAGGGTCTCCGTGTGAGGGCCGCACGTGGACACGCCATGGAGCCCGTGACGGGTTCGCCGTGTGAGGACTCTTGAGGAACGAGGGAGCCCACCTGGGGCCTCTCCAGCCTCTGTCTTGGTTCTGGGTGATCCAGAAAGGGTGTGCCTTGCCCTGTCGGAACAAGAGTGAGTCACTGAGCTCACACATCCGTGTTTGCTCTGTGTGACAAGCTCAGTTTGTTTTCAAGGAGGTGACGTCCTGTGAGCCGTGTGGAAAGCAGCTCGGCCTCTCGCTTGCCGTGCAGGTGGGGGCGGCAGGCCGGGCTGGGAAAGGTCTCGGGAGCCGCCGCCTCTTGAGTTCCACAGCTTGTCCTAGCAGACGGTAGACTCTGCAGGTGAGTTTGGGTTCCAAGTCTGACCTTGTGGCGTGCCCGGCCAGCAGGGCGCAGTGAGTGCAGACCAGGAGGCCTCTGGGTTCCTTGTGGAGGTTTGTGGGCTCTGTCTGTTGACCGTGCTCCCTGCTGGGCTGAGAACGCCGTCTGGAAAGGTCTCTGCTTGCCTGGAAGCCAGAGTGAAGACTGAGAGTTGGCGACAGCAGTAACACTGCAGTGCGTCTGCAGCTTCCAGAAAGCAGGGTCCAGGGAGGGGAGATATGGGCGTGTTTGATGGCTGAGTAGCATGGCAGGGCATGGCAGAATGCGGGTGCCACGACTGAGTGCGGGGAGGGTCCGTGTTCCCCCCTCGGCCTCTGTTGAGTGCTGCTGGGAGGGTCCCGTTCCCCTCTGGGTCCTCTGTTGAGTGCTGGGAGGGTCTGGTTCCCCTCTGGGTCCTCTGTTGAGTGCAGGGAGGGTCCGGTTCCCCTCTGGGTCCTCTGTTGAGTGCGGGGAGGTTCTGTGTCCCCCCCGGGTCCTCTGTTGAGTGCTGGGAGGGTCCCGTTCCCCTCTGGGTCCTCTGTTGAGTGCAGGGAGGGTCCCGTTCCCCTCTGGGTCCTCTGTTGAGTGCTGCGAGGTCCGGTTCCCCTCTGGGTCCTCTGTTGAGTGTTAGGAGGGTCCCGTTCCCCTCTGGGTCCTCTGTTGAGTGCTGCGAGGTCCGGTTCCCCTCTGGGTCCTCTGTTGAGTGCTCAGAGGTTCCGTGTTCCCCTCTGGGTCCTCTGTTGAGTGCTGGGAGGGTCTGGTTCCCCTCTGGGTTCTCTATTGATCAGTGTTCCCCTCTTGGCCTCTGTTGAGTGCTGGGAGGGTCCTCATCAATGCTTAATGTTTTCTTTAGGTTATAAATTCTGTCAGTGACAGGTTTGTGTCCTTGGTTTTGGCGTAACTTCTGTGGTCAGTGGTCTGCCACGGCCGGATTCCCGGATTCCACTCAGAGCTCATCTCGCAGCCTCTCTTCCCTCTCCCACGTCTCCAGTCGCTGCCTCCAGCGCTCAGCTCGTCCTTGCTCAGTGACCTTTGCCGACTGCTCTCCCACCTGCTCATTCGAGGAGCTCTGCCCTGCCCTCCAGACACCCACTCCGCCACCACAGGAAGCTTCCCCACTTGTCAGAGATCCATCGGGGAGTGGGCTCTTGTGCGTGTGGCACTGGCCGGGGTAACCTCACTCCGTGTCGTTCCAGGTCTCCCTGAGGAGAGGAAGAGAAGCAGCCGACACCTCCGTGGTCTGGCCGTCCAGTGAAGCCGGGACATCCAGGTACAGCGCTACCACGTGATGCTTCCTTTCCGCCTCGATGCCTTACCAGCGCCTGGCCACAGACTGGGAGCCCCACGGTGCTTCTGGAAGTGAGCAGAGTGGCAGGGCCGCGTGCCCAGCAGCTCAGAGGAGGCTCGTGTGCACTGATGGTGGCAGGGCCTCTGGCACCTCTGGCCTGTGGCCTGTGGGCCCTTCAGTGGGCCGGTTTCTGCCTTTTGTACATGGTGGATCTGGTGGATATGAGTACTTTTGTATGTTTGGTTTGGTTTTTATTTGAAAGGCAGAGCGAGAGGGGGGAGAGAGAGAGAGATTCTTCCATCTGCTCGTTCACTCCCCAAAGGGCTGCAATGGCCAGGAGCCAAGAGCTTCTTCCAGTCTCCCATGTGGGTGCAGGGGCCCAAGGACTTGGACCGTCTGCAGCTGCTTTTCCCAGGCCACTAGCAGGGACCTGGATCAGAAGTAGAGGAGCAGCAGGGACTTGAACTGGCAGCTATTTGGGATACCGGTGCTGTGTGCGGAGCCTTAACCCACTATGCCACAGTGCTGTGAGGTTCTTAATTACTTCTTATTTAGGTGTAGCTAACCTGTGATCTCAGCTCTTTATCAAGTACCCAGATAGGCCCTTCAGTGGTTTAAATTCTAATTTGACTCTGCTTTGGTCTGAGTGCCTGGCTTTGAGTTGCTGAAGTGAGTGGCTGAGGTGGGCACCAGCCCGGGACAGAGAGCACCCCTTCCGGAGGGCGACGTGTCCAGGCTCGGATCGTTTGGTCCTAACATGTGGCAACAAATCTGTTTTCCAGCTGAAAATGCGGCTCTAAAATGCAAGCCCAGCATAGCAGAAACCTGTGCGCTGCCCGCCCGTGGCCTCTCTGCCTGGGCCATGAGGGCGCTGCGGGGGCAGCCTCTGCTCTGGGCACTGCTGCTGTGCCTGCCCTGGCCGGCGGGCGCGGCCGAGCATGAGGAGGTGGCCCGGCACGCCATCGAGTTGCACCGGGGCAAGGGCGCCGCCGCGGCTCCCCGCCGGCAGTGGCTGCTGGGCGGCTGCCGCAGGCTGTCCGGCCTCCTCCACCAGAAGAGCGTGGTGCTGGACAAGCTGAGAAACGCCGTCCGCGCGGTGGAGAGAGACCCCGGGCTGTCGGAGGCGGAGAGGCTGTTCCAGGTGCACACGTTCGAAATCTTCCAGAAGGAGCTGAACGAAAGTGAGAACTCCGTGTTCCAGGCCGTCTACGGGCTGCAGCGCGCCCTGCAGGGGGACTACAAGGACGTGGTGAACATGAAGGAGAGCAGCCGCCAGCGGCTGGAGGCCCTGCGCGAGGCCGCCATAAAGGTGAGGCCACCTGCCGGGAAGCCCTGGCGGGGCGGGCAGTGGGCCTTTTACCTGGGCTCCCCAGTCCTTCAGAGTGTTACCCACATTCTGCCAGCAAACTGACGCAGAGACGAGTGTCGGGTGCAGGCTGTGCAGGAGGAGTTCGGACACTGGGTCCACCTCAGCCCTCCATGGTCCGCCCCAGCCCCTCAGGGTCCTGCTCCAGCCTCCTAGGGTCCATCCTAACCCCCAGGGTCCGCCCTAGCCCCCCAGAGTCCACCTCAGCCCCCCAGGGTCTGCCCAGCCCCTCAGGGTCCTGCTCCAGCCCCCTAGGGTCCGTCCTAACCCCCAGGGTCGGCCCAGCTCCTCAGGGTCCTGACCCAGACCCCCAGGGTCCACCCAGCCCCTCAGGGTCTGCCCTAGCCCCCCAGGGTCTGCTCCAGCCCCTCAGGATCCGTCCTAACCCCCAGGGTCCACCTAAAGCCCCCAGGGTCTGCCCCAGCCACTCAGGGTCCTGCCCCAGTCCCCTAGGGTCTGCCCCAGCCCCCCTGAGTCTGCCTCAGCCCCCCTGAGTCTGCCCCAGCCCCTCAGGGTCCACCTCAGCCCCCCAGGGTCTGCCTTAGCTTCCCAGGGTCCGCCCCAGCCCCCTAGTATCTGCCCCTGCCCCTCAGGATCCACCTCAGCCCCCTAGGGTCCGCTCCAGCCCCTCACGGTCCTGCCCCAGCCCCCCAGCATCTGCCCCAGCCCCTCAGGGTCCACCTCAGCCCCCCAGGGTCCGCCCTAGGCCCCAGGGTCCTGCCTTAGTCCCCCAGGGTCTTCCCCAGCCCCTCAGGGTCCACCTCAGCCCCTCATGATCTGCCTCAGCCCCCCACCCCACCCCGGGGTCCTGTGAGGGCCACCACATGTCATAGCCTCAGTGTTTGTGACAGGCTTGGTCTAGTCACTGTCCACATATTGAAAAAAGAATTTCAAAGTCAGTTTTAAACAGTGTATACATTTAGAGTGAGGAGTTTGTCCCAGTTTACTTTTAAAAGGATGAGAGCCTATCTCAGATGTCACATTGTTTGTGTCGCCTTCCAACACCATGGCACCAGACGCGCTGTCACACACATCTCCTTAAGCCTTTGTTTCTGGAGTCCCTGCTCTGGGCCAGGCATGTGCTGCAGCCTGGAACGGATGAAAGAGCGTTGCATCACCACAGGAAAACCATGGTGTTACCGCAGCCTAAAATGGGCGAGGGGATACAGAATTACTAAATTTTTATCACTGAACTGTAGATTTTTTTGGGTAGAAATATGGTGATTGTCAGATGTTTATGTCAAGGTCATCAACAGCCCTGATCAGTCATGTTGCTGGTGTTACACGTGTGTGTGAGCCCTGTCAGTCTTGCCAGTGTTACACATGTGTGAACACCATCAGTCACCCTGCCTGTGGTAGGTGCTTGTGAGCCCCGTCGCCTGGCCCATGTACACGTGTGTGTGTTACACGTGTGAGCTCCGTGACTGCTGTTGTGGGCGAGGACAGAGCAGGAGCTGTCTTTGATGAGGTGTTACTGTTGCACGAGATTGTTGTTGTTACTCTGCACGATGTGACGTTTGGGTTTGTCGTTCTAAAGAGGGATCCAGGTTTGCCATGAAGTAGACAGACAGGAGCTCGAGTAGCTGACGCTGGTTCAGACGCCCACAAGTCCTTTCCACTTGTGTGGCTCTGTAGTGCTCCAGCCGCCCTCCTGTCCAGGATTCTCCTGCGTCTGTGTCAGAGGCACAGAAGGTGGCCGTGGTCACAGGGTGCTGGCACTGTCCCAACCGGCCCCACCCCCTTAGATGTGGGTGAATATTTCAACAGTCAGGGTAATGATTACATGTGAGTGTATAAAATGCCCTGCCCATCAGTTTCCGTGTAAGTAACACTGTCAGCTTCTACATGTTTTCTGGAACAATCCCCCTTTGTAAATGGAAAGTGACTTTGTGTATCTTGCTTAAAGACGTAGGTAGCGGCTGAATGTTCAGTATCACAGCTGTGTTAAAGTGTAGGCAGGGCATCTCCACGCTCATGAACATATGACCTGTGTGCTCCGTCACAGGTCACACTTGTGGCATGTGTGTGTGTATGAGAGACTCTCCATAGACACTTGCCAAGCGCAGCTCCAGGCAGGGACTGGGGCGCCCCGCCCGTCCTGGCCAGCTGGCGCCGGAGTCCCTCCTCCGTGGACAGAGCAGCCCGCGGAAGCCTGGGGGTTTATTTCCTAGTAAACCTCACTCTGTTTCCCACAAACAAATAGGAAGAGACGGAGTACGTAGAACTTCTGGCTGCAGAAAAGCATCAAGTGGAAGCCCTTAAGAACATGCAGCATCGCAACAAGAGCTTGTCCATGCTGGACGAGATCCTGGAGGACGTGAGGAGGGCGGCAGACCGCCTGGAGGAGGAGATCGGCGAGCACGCCTTCGACGACAACAAGGCGGTAGGCGCCGTGTGGCTGGAGCCGCCCCCGTGTGGGCTGTAGCAGGGTGGGAGGCCTAGGAAGGTGGCATGCGGGCATGCTCTGGGAGACTGCGCCTCCAGGAGTGAGTCACCCATTATCGTCGGGCCCGTCTCGCTGGCCAGTTGTGCCCCCAGGGGCACTGGCCTCTGGTCTCTAGAAAGCTTAGGTGACTCCAGTGCCGAAGGTGGGTCCGTGAACTCTGCTGACAGCATCTGCGTCTGGAGCAGGACTCTGACTGCCCCCTCGTTAGAGGTGTCCAGGATTCTGAGGGGGAGTTAAGATGGATGCCGAAAACTGACTGTGGGTCTCGGTGTAGACTCCGAACAGTTAGTGGTGAACCACATCTGAGTAAAGCCAGAGCAAAGAGGGGGAGAAAGAAAGGGACGTTTACAAAATTGGCCCTGGATTTCTGAAAGCGTGTGCCCTAAAGTAGGTATTTGGAAGTAGCAGAAGTCCTGACGTTTCGATCCTGGAAATTACGTCTTTGTTTTAGAACAAAGTCCCACCGCCTGCTGATGGACACCTCACAGAATGTTCTCCTGGGTGGCAGTTGCTTTCTAGACACTGAGTGTAAGAGCATTGAGTTGATCTCGGTCGGTGCTGCCGGTTGTCCTTTCAGGTCAAAGGGGTCAATTTTGAGGCAGTTCTGAGGGTGGAGGACGAAGAGGCCAGCTCCAAGCAGAACATGACGCGGCGCGACGCGCAGGGGGACTTGGGGCTCAGCATGCTGATCGACTCCCAGAACAACCAGTACGTGCTGACCAAGCCCAGAGACTCAACCATGCCGCGGGCCGACCACCACCTGATCAAGGTGGGGACCGCGTGTGCCTGGCGTGTCCATGTGGGCAGATTACCACATGATCAGGGTGGGGACCGCATGTGCCTGGTGTGTCCATGTGGGCAGATTACCACAGGATCAGGGTGGGGACCGCATGTGCCGGGCATGTCCCACATGGGCAGACCACCACATCATCAGGGTGGGGACTGCATGTGCCTGGCGTGTCCATGTGGGCAGATTACCACATGGTCAGTGTGGGGACCGCATGTGCCGGGCGTGTCCCACATGGGCAGACCACTGCCTGATCAAGGTGGGGACCACATGTGCCTGGTGTGTCTCATGTGGGCAGATTACCATGTGATCAGGGTGGAGACCGCGTGTGCCTGGTGTGTCCCATGTGGGCAGATTACCACATGATCAGGGTGGAGACAGTGTGTGCCGGCCTTGTCCCACGTGGGCAGACCACTGCCTGATCAAGATGGGGACTGCGTGTGCCTGGCGTGTCCACCCAGGCAGACCACCACCTGATCAAGGTGAGGACCACGTGTGCTGGACGTGTCCATGTGGGCAGACCACCACATGATCAGGGCGGGGACCACGTGTGCCGGGCGTATCCCACTGCAGCCTGGTCTTCTGAGCGTTCACAGAGACCTACGTTGTCTCTGATCTGAGATGTCTCACGTAATGTTAACTTTTTCCTAGTGGAATACCCATGTTAATGTTGAAATGAAATGTGATTCTGCTTTTGAGAGTTTAGAAGACTTTTTGTCAGGCTCCTATCTTCAGCTCTCTGGAAACCGTTTTCAGTGACATAGAAAGCCCCCGTGAGGAGTGCCGTGTGGCCTTGCTCAGACGTAGGGTGCACAGTGTGGGGCCCCGGCACGCGTGCGTTCCAAGTGGAGGCCGCTTTGTCGTCCCCTGCTGCTGTCCCAGCAGCTACCTGTCAGCTCACATTTCTGCTGCCTGTTTTGCTCTGCATAGGACATCGTCACCATAGGAATGCTGTCCCTGCCCTGTGGCTGGCTCTGCACAGCCATCGGATTGCCCACGATGTTCGGTTACGTCATCTGTGGGGTGTTGCTGGGACCTTCAGGACTGAACAGCATTAAGGTAAGAGCAGAGTGACTGTTGCAGGATCTGTTTACGGGTGTGGCATGTCTGGCCCACGGGCCGTCTTAGGCCAGCCACGTCACCTGGTCTGGCCTTGCCAAGGTAACCACAGGCAAGGCTCCAAGTTCAGTGCAGCTGTAGCAGACTGACTTGTCAGCTGGTGATCCTGGTGGCCTGCGAGTGATGTTGCAAGGATCCAAATGGCCCTCGGCAGAAAGTGGGTTCCCCAGCCCTGGAGAGAATGAAGACTAGGAAGGGGACCAGGTGACCGGAGGCATCCCTGGGGCTCCGTCAGAAGGCCCTCTAAATCAGGGGTCACGCACGGAGGGTGGCCTGGCTGGAGAGCACCCTGGGTCAGGTCCGTTTCCAAGGTTCCGTCTCCTGTGGTGGACCAGACTTCAGAAGCTCCCACCCCCGGCAGCGCTGAATCAAATGTGTCCTAGACAGTCCTTGACGTGTGCAAACTGACCAGGACCCGGCTTCTACAGGCAGGGCAGCCGCGAGACTGCTCTCATGGGGGCTGTCTGTGGGGCAGGCGGATGGCCCTGCCCACATACGGGGGCTTCCGAGGCTGTCATCAGTGTACACATTGTGTGGGCCAGGAGCCCCGGGCCAAGGTGACACCCTGCAGCCACAGACCCCCCAACCTCCCGATCTCCCCTGGGAGCCTGGCGCCCTCTGCAGCCAGTTCACAAGCAAGCCAGGTCGGAGGGCCTCCAGGATTGCCTGGAACAACAGCAGTCGAGGAATCGGCCCACGAGACTACCGAGGTGCTGGAGCCGCGCCTGGCCGTCTGCGAGCAGGGCCTTGGCTGGGCTGACGTAGCCTCTGGGAGCAGTGCCCTGCGCAACTTCCTTTTCTTCACCTGATTGGAAGCCGAGCTGCAGCCTCTTCCTGCCCCGCCCACTCCTCCCTTTGGCAGGGCGTTTGCAGATGGAATTTACCACACTCCCCTTCCTTTCTGAACAGCAGAGCTGGCTCCTGAGCACTGGACACCATAAAAATTATGATTCTTTTCTTTTTTAAATATTGATTTATTTGAAAGTCCAAGTTATATAGAGAGAAGACAGGTAGAGACAGAGAGAGAGATCTTCCATCTGCTGGTTCACTCTCCAGTTGGCCACAATGGCCGGAGTTGGGCCGATCTAAAGCCAGGAACCAGAAGCTTCTTCCAGGTCTCCCTCGTGGGTGCAAGGGCCCAAGGACTTGGGCCATCTTCACTGCTTTCCCAGGCCGCAGCAGAGAGCTGGATCAGAAGTGGAGCAGCCAGGATTCAGACTGGTGCCCATATGGGATGCCGGCACTGCTGGTGGAGGCTTTACCTGCTGCACCACAGCACCGGCCCCTGCTCGTTTATTTCTCTCATTTCATGTCCTCTGCCACACTTCCTTGCTACTATTGTTTTCTTATTTATTCTCAAAATTAGGTTGTGACTTATGACTTCAAAGTAAGAGTTGAAAACCCTGTGCTTCCTGAGGCTGGTGCTGAGGCAGTGAGTTAAGGCGCTACCTGTGCCCCTGGCATCCCACGTGGGTGCTGGTTGGAGTCTCAGCTGCTCCACTTTCAGTCCAGCTCCTCTCTGATGGCCTGAGATAGCAGAAGAGGATGGCCCAGGGGTAGGAGCCCCTGTGCCCATGTAAGAGAACCAGATGGAGTTCCAGGCTCCTGGCCTTGGCCTGGCCCAGGCCTGGCTGTTGCAGCCATTTGAGGGGTGAACCAGCAGATGGAAGCTCTCTCTGTAACTCTGGCTTTCAAATAAATAGATCTTTAAAAAGCCTGTGCTTCTTAACGATTGCAAGCCATCGACTTGCTACCAGGAGAGGTAAACGTTCAGGTCCAGCTGTGTGTCTGCCCCTCGCACTTGGGCCGCCCTGCTCCTGGGGCTTTGTCTTGCTCTACCTGTGAGGGCACTGTCTCCACGGTGTTGGTGACCTATTAAGGACTCATGGAGATGGAAGTGCAGCAAGTCCAGGAGTGGCTCCTGGAAAGTGGAAGGAAGTGGACACTGCAGCCGAGCCGGAGCCCGGGGAGCCCACCGTGACCAGGAGGCCCGGATTCTGTGATGCAGAAGACATTCAGAGAATGGCCTCTGGGGAATGTGCTGCCTTGGGTGTCTAGGGGAGGGGTGTTCCCGCTGAGCACCAGCCTCACGCCACCTTGTGTCTTGTTTTTCAGTCTATCGTACAAGTGGAGACTTTGGGAGAATTTGGGGTGTTCTTCACTCTGTTCCTTGTTGGCCTGGAGTTTTCCCCAGAGAAGCTGAGGAAGGTGAGACCCCACAGCTCAGGGCCGGGGGTCGGGCTGCTCCCGGCTGGTGTCGTGGAACAGAAGGTGGTACTTAGTGTGGTGCTGTTCTTGGACCATACATTCAGCTGGAATTGCTTTGCTGGTTGCAGAGGTCTGAGAAGGGCAGGACTTCCCGGAGGTGTCAGACTGTCAGGGAAGTGCCTCAGCCGGAACTGATTGACGGGCACTTTGTTTCCCAGCAGAGCTCTTAGAAGAGGGACACAGTCGGGGCCGGTACTGTGGCGAAGCAGGTAAAGCCACTGCCTGCAGTTCCGGCATCCCATATGGGTGTTGGTTTGAGTCCCGGCTGCTCCACTTCTGATCCCACTCTCTTCTATGGCCTGGGAAAGCAGTGGAAGACAGCCCAAGTCCTTGGGCCCCTGCACCCATGTGGAAGACCTGGAAGAAGCTTCTATCTTCAGATTGGCACAGCTCCGGCCTTTGCAGCCAAGTGGGGAGTGAACCAGTGGATGGAAGACTTCTCTCTCTGCCTCTCCTCTCTCTCTGTGTTACTCTGACTTTCAAATAAATAAATCTTTAAAAAAAAAAAAAAGAGGGACACAGTGAACACTGGTGGTGAAGAAAAAACTAAAGTAAGATCAGGTGCCAAGTGCCTTCAGCACGAGGCTGCTTCAGAAAGTGAGTGGAAAACAGAATTAAAGTATGAAGAACAGAAACTTTTCAGAATATGTAGATAATGTGTTATGAACAAACTACATGGATCACAAAGCATTTTGCACCAAAATAGACTCTCTCTCTCTCTTTTTTTTAAAGATTTATTTGTTTCAGAGGTAGAGTTACAGAGAGAGAGGGAGAGACAGAGTGAGGGCTTCCATCCTCTGGTTCACTCCCCAAATGACCACAATGGTTGGAGCTGGGCTGATCTGAAGCCAGGAGCCAAGAGCTTCTTCCAGGTCTCCCATGTGGGTGCAGGGGCCCAAAGACTTGGGCCATCTTACTGCTTTCCCAGGCCATAGCAGAGAGCTGGATAGGAAGAGGAGCACTGGGGACTTGAACCAGCGCCCGTAAGGGATGCTGGCACCATGGGTAGAGGCTTAACCTGCATCACTGCACCATCCCCTAGACTCACTTTTAATTCCATTTTCTGCCATGCACTTCTTGAATTAACCTTAGTGCTAACATCAGGGTGGCCCGGGGTGATCACCATGCTGGGAACAGCCTCCTGGCCTTTTTGGTAGCCTGGAATTGTTCGTCTCTTCTGCACTCCCAGGTCTCCCAGCACAGGAGGGATCAAACGTAGATTAACAAAGAATTTACAGCCGGCGCCACGGCTCAGTAGGCTAATCCTCCGCCTTGCGGCGCCAGCACACCGGGTTCTAGTCCCAGTCAGGGCACTGGATTCTGTCCCAGTTGCCCCTCTTCCAGGCCAGCTCTCTGCTGTGGCCCGGGAGTGCAGTGGAGGATGGCCCAAGTGCTTGGGCCCTGCACCCCATGGGAGACCAGGAGAAGCACCTGGCTCCTGGCTTCAGATCAGCGCGGTGCGCTGGCCGCAGCGCGCTGGCCGCGGCGGCCATTAGAGGGTGAACCAATGGCAAACGGAAGACCTTTCTCTCTGTCTCTCTCTCTCACTGTCCACTCTGCCTGTCAAAAAAATGAAAAAAAAAAAAAAAAGAATTTACACACTGAGTGTCAGTGGCTAACCTGTGACACAGCCACTGCCGGAGAATGTGCAGGAAGGAAGAAAGCACTGTGCCCTAACTTTGACAGACAAGCATGAGCCTGTGACAGGCCCATGGAACCCGGAAGCACAGACACGTGGGCAGCCGTGTGCCAGTAACTGTGGGCAGCTTGTTTTCCTTCTCCTCCACTTTCCTGGTTTCCTGTAACAGTGTCGCTGACCCCTGCCACAGCTCCCTGGCTATTTGTGGGCCAGGTCCTTCTAACGCAGAGAGTGCCCTGTGCCTGCCCACTGCTCCTCTCCCTTTGCACACCTCTCAGGTGTGCCTCTGTACAGGTATTCTGAGTTACTTTAGGGTATGGCTTGATAATTCCCACCTGTCAGTTTCTGAGTCCAGGGTTTAAAGAAGTGGGCATTTGGCCCAGTGGTTAATCCACCTGCATTCCACATCAGAGTGCCTGGGGTCAGCTTCCGGCTGATGCACACCTGGGAGGCAACAGGTGATGGTTAAGTGGTTGGGTTCCTACCACCTGTGACAGACACCTACATTGAGTTCTTGACTCCCAGTTTTGGCCTGGCCCAGTCTGGCCATTGTGGGCATTTGGAGAGTCAACCAGCAGATGGGAGCTCCGTGTCTGTCTCTATCTCGCTGTCTTTTGAGTAAGCAATTCATACAGAGACATTTTAAGGGAATCGCCCTGTTCCTGGGACCTGACAGAAGTGGCCCATCCCTCTGCGGCCCTTCCAGAGGTGTGTGCAGGGAGGGACCCAGGCTCCGGTGGTCAGAGCCAGAGCAGCCAGGCCTCGCCTCCACAAATGCCACCTGGGCCCGCTCCATGGAATACAAGGCTTCTGTTTCCTAGCACGCTGGGCCTGTGTGGGTTTCTGTGTGTGTCAGAGCTACAGACGTTTATAGAAAGCTGTGATTCAGGGCGGGGTGGACTGGGGTGGGGAGACGGGTGCGAGGGGTCCTCATGAGGACACACCAGCAGTGTGAGAGTTCACATTCCTGTCTCTAAATCTCCTAGTTATTCCTAGTTATTCTAGTTATCTCCTGTAGCATTCAAAGGTAAGTGATAATGTTACATAACATAAAAATGTGAACATAGTGGCTTTGTTTTTGTTTTTTTTTTAATTTTACTTTCATTGTATTTGACAGGCAGAGAGAGATCTTTCATCCAGAGTTCACTCCCCAAAATGCCTACAACAGCCAGAGCTGGGCCCAGCCAAAGCCAGGAGCCAGGGGCACTTTTCCTTTAGGAGAAATGTGCTGAGTCAGGTTTACACAGTGCTGGGTTTTACTCTTTCCTACAGGCGAAATGTGCTGAGTCAGGTGTAAGCAGTGCCAGGGTTTACACTTCCCTACAGGGGTCACATGCTGAGTCAGATTTACACAGCGCGGTTCAGCCTGGGGTTGTCAATCACCCTGGAGTCAGCAGGATGTTCTGACGGGCTTGAGTGTTGGAGTGGTCTGTGTGCACTCCTCCTACCACGGCTCTCTGTGGGAAGGTCACTTCCCATTAAGGCACAGTGGACGTTCCCTGAGGTCCCCGTCACCTGGGAGCTGCAGGTTCTCGGCATGGGCTGCACCTGGCTGGCACGGGCTCAGCAGTCAGCGTGGACAGCCGCGGGGTGTGTGACCGCAGAGGGCGCCTCGTCTGTCCTGTAGGAGTGGCCGTAGACAGCGGCAGAGTGCTGTCTCGGAGCAGACGCGTGGCTGTGTGCTGTGCTGAGGCATCCGCTGCTGTGATCTCTCTGAGGTGTGGAAGATCTCCTTGCAAGGCCCGTGCTACATGACACTGCTGATGATTGCCTTTGGCCTGCTGTGGGGACACTTTCTGCGGATCGGGCCCACGCAGAGCGTCTTCATTTCTGCTTGTCTGTCCTTGTCCAGCACACCCCTCGTGTCCAGGTTCCTCGTGGGCAGTGCTCGGGGTGATAAAGAAGGTAGGTGACGTGTCTGCACATGGGAGAGGGCGTACGTGAGCATGCAGTGGGGCTGGGCTGGGGCTGGGCCAAAGTCGGGAGCTGGAAACCCAGTCCAGGTCCCCCACATGGGTGGCAGGAACCTAGGTAGTTGAGCCATCAGCTCCCGGGACCTGCACTAGGGAGCTGGGTTGAGAGCTGCAGCTGGGAATCGACCCAGGCACTCCATGTGTGACATGAGCATCCTAACCACCAGGCTGAACGCCTGTTGGTGTCTTTAACAACAACAACAACAAAAAAACAAGATTTATGTATTTGAAAGGCAGAGTTAGAGAGAGATCTTCCATCTGCTGGTTCACTCCCCAGATGGCAGTTGTGGCTGGACTTGGGCCAATCCAAAGCCAGGAGCTTCTCTGGGTCTCCCACGTGGGTGCAGGGGCCCAAGCACTTGGGCCATCCTCCGCTGCTTTCCCAGGCACATTAGTAGGGAGCTGGATCGCAAGTGGAGCAGCCGGGACTTGAACCTGTGACCATATGGGATGCCAGTGCCTACCCGCTCTGCCACAGTGCCAGCCCTTGGTGTCCTTTTTATAAAGGCCAAGCTAAAGCCTGAAGTGAGGAGATGGAGGCGTTGCCACTGTGTGGGCTCTGTGCTGGGCTGTAGATCTCAGTGGGAGTTGATAGTTAAGCCTGCTGGAGACGTGTGCACCTGCAGCCCAGTTAGAAAATGTGAGCTGGGGCAAAACATTGTTCTATCACCGAAAGGAAGTACCAGTCCTTCGTTCGACTACTGATCAAAAGATGGGAGCCGGCGTTGTGGCATAGCAGATTAAGCTGCAGCCTGTGACACCGGCATCACATATGGGCGCCAGTTCTAGCCCCAGCTGCTCCTCTTCTGATCCAGCTCTGTGCTGATGACCTTGGACCTGGTCCAAGTCCTTGGACCCTTGCACCCTTGTGGGAGACCTGGATGAAACTCCTCGCTTCAGCTTGGCTCAGCCTTAGCTGTGGCCATTTGAAGAGTAATCCAGCAGATGGAAGACCTCTCTCTCTCTCTGTCTCTCTCTCTCTGTAACTCTGCCTTGCAAGTAAATAAATGAAATTTTTTTAAAATCACACATTATTGAAGACATCAATGGAGAAAATCCATGGTCATGGATACAAAGTGTTACTGTGTAAAGATGCTGTTTCTCCCCAGATCTATAAACTCGTGGTTATTGTAATAAAATATTAGTTTTCCATGAAACTTGTCAAACTGATCTAAAGTTCACTTAAAATAAAAACTGCTACAAGCAAGATGGACCCTGGACTCCAGAGGACAGTGCTGTCCAGTCCTCTGGGCACCCTTCTCACCTACTTGGGCTTCTTCTTGCTCCTTGCCGTGTACAGGAGCTGACACGGCAGCGTATGTCCCACCCCAGCCCCACAGGAGATCTCTCTGTGCCCCGTCCCCCCAGCCTGCCTTGTCGGCCAGCAGGTGGGACTACGGGTGGTTGCAGGAGGGGCCACCAGCTGGGGGCCACAGGCTCCATGTGAGAATAGCACAAGGATGTGGTCATTTCGGGCCGGAAGGGACCCCTTCTGAGGCTGGAAGGTTGAACTTAGGAAAGGATCATGGAAGCATGCCGACTGAGCCACCCAGCTTAGATCTGTCTCGGCGTGGCGTCCTCCAGTGTGCTGTGGTCAACTCAGAACCGCCGGAGTCCAGCCTATGACATCTCCCCTTTTAACACCCAGACGGCCTCTCAGGGAAACCCCATCCCAGGAGCCCAGCCACCCCTGGAGACAGGTGGGAACATGAGAGGACAAAGGAAATGCGGAGCGTGAGAAAACTTATTTCACACGCTTGTCTCCTTCCTGGTGTGGTCACAGGATAGCTGTCCCCATCTCCCCTTGCCCACTGCCCCCACCCCTTCTCCACATTAACTATCCTGCCTGGGATCCTGGCAGCAGTTGCTAAAGCTTGATTGCTCTCCCCCGACCCGGGAGGTCACTTGAGCTGCTGCACTTGACACTGCATTGATATTGTCACACAGTGCTTTCCAGTGCCAGATGATGGGGTTTGCTCTGAGAGGGCTCCGCGCTGGCTGCCCCTTCCCCACGGTGCAGTTTAGAGTGAAATGTGGGTAAAGCAAGGAAACAGATCCATGTGAACATCGATTTTGGACGGGGAATGGAAGCCAAAGACCCCATGATAGAATCTTAGGAGTTGCTGGGTGATGGGTACTGGGAGGAAGGAGACCAGGGAGGCTGCGGCCAGAGGGCAGAAATCGTTACTAACACCTGCCCCTGCCACTTGTCCAGCCCAGTCCATGCTAGTTCCAGAGTGCTGCCCGCCTAGGCTGTGGCTTTAAAGGGGGGGGGGGGCACAGCAGGGTGCCCCAGGTAAAGAAATTTAGAATCCTCCCATCCTCCCATCTTTTTCTGGTTTAGTTTCCGTTAGTTCAAGGAAGGGACGTAACCATGGCCAACTCCTCCTCTCGGAGTCTGAGTTACTGCTGCTTCCCCTGGGCGTCGCGAGTGTCTGCAGCCCTTCTGTCCGCTCTCACGCTTCTAGGTGAATAGGGCCTTGCGCCACAGCGTGTGAGTACTGCCTCTGATGTTCCTTTGTTAACCTTGCATGCACTTACTCCTGTTCTGAATCTAACCTTGTGCAAGCAGCACATGCAAAACTGTTT